AGTTCGTTTGTTTAACCAAACCAACGGGAATTTGTGTTTGTTCGTTTAACTACCCCTAGCAACATAGTTTAATTGATTTGATAACATTATTGTTATGGTTATTAATATTATTGTTTTTGTGAAATAGTTTCTCACCACATCAATTTGGTTACCTAGATGGTTACAATCTCTTGCATTATCCGGATAGAGAGCACACCAAGCCGACCTTCTATGTCGATTATAAGTAAGGATGAGCATTTGGACCTGTGGACCAGACCAAACAAGACCATTTTTTGAACCCCTGGGCCGGTTCTCAGTGCTAGGATTTCAGCAAAACCGGTCCGGTCTTTTTACCGGTTCCAGGTAAAAATCGGTTTTGGACCGGCTTATTTTAAAAAAAAATTGTATTCTATGAAATTCTCTAAACAAACATATCTCATTTGTTTAAGTCAGATTGACATACAGTTTTTCCAACGTGTAATTTAGAGTTTGTATATGATTTTATATTATAATTTGGTTGTCTTTGGTGTTATGTTTAATGAGTTACAATCCTTCAAATATGAGATATCAAAGCTGAAATATTTCAGCTTTAAAGCAAGAAGTTTAAACTTTTGCATTCTATGAAATTTTTTAAACAGGTATATCTTATTCGTTTTAAGTTGGATTGACATACGGTTTTTTCTAACGTGTAATTTAGAGTTTGTAGATGATTTTAGATTATAATTTTGTTGTTTTTGGTGCTATATTCGATGCGTTACAATTCCTTCAAATATGAGATATCAAAGCTGAAATATTTTAGCTTTTCAGCAAGAAAGTTAAAACTTTTGTATTCAATGAAAATTTTTAAACAAACATATCTCAATCGTTTGAAGTCAGATTGACATGTGATTTTCTCCAATATATAACTTAGAATTTGTAGATGATTTTAGACTATAATTTATTTATTTTTTGTGTTATATTCAATGAATTTCAATTCTTCAAAGATGAGATATCAAAGCTGAAATATTTCAGCTTTGAAACAAGAAGTTTAAACTTTTGTATTATGTGAAAAATTTTAAACAAACATATCTCATTCGGGATTGACATGTGGTTTTTTCCGACGTGTAGTTTAGAGTTTGTAGATGAGTTTAGATCATAGTTTTGTTGTTTTTATGTTATATTCAATGAATTACAATCATTCACTTTCCCATCCCTTTTCCTCCATAAAACCTTGTCGACCACCAAAGGATCAAAAACAGGCAATTGAAAATCATTAAGTTGAGGAATGAGAGAAAGCCAATCATCGGGCCAAAACCATGAACTATCACCAATAACATCTTTGACTTTATCAGAAATTTTAAAGCCAACACTCGAAATTTCTCTAGGAGAGAGAACATAAGAAAAGGCACCAAGTTGATGCCAATCCTTATACCACATAAAGGTGTTAGCACCATTCCCAATCCATTTAACCCACATAGATTCAGAATTAGACACAATCATCCATATTCTTTTGGATAAAATGGCTTTATTCCAAGCTTTTAAGTTTCTAAGGCCCAAACCCCCACATTCCACAGGTTTACAAACAGTAGACCAAGCTATTTTAACTCTACCAATCACAATTCTAAAGGAAATTATTCATCATTTTCTCAATCTCCTTAATGGTAGTAGCAAGAATAAGCAAGCAAGAGGTCCAATACACCAGAAGAGAATAAAGGACTGAGTAAATAAGTTGCAACCTTCTAGCATAAGAAAGAAATTTATTCCTCCAATCACCAATTCTTCGTCTAACTTTGTCAACAAGCCTTTTACAATCTCTAACAAATAATCTATTAGATATAAGAGGGATCCCCAAATATCTCATCGGAAGCTTAGCTTCCACAAAGGGTAAAGTAGGGCTGCAAACGAGGTGAGCTGAGCTCGAGCTTGACCAAGCTCAGGCTTGGCTCGTTTAAATATTTATAGGCTCGAGCTCGAGCTTTGCTCGTTTCAAGCCTTGTAGTACAAAGCTCGAGATCGGTTCGTTAAGAATTGTACGGGCTCGGGCTCGGTTTGGGCTCAGCTCGTATACTGTATACTCTAATTTCCTAAAATGGTATTTATTAAATTATTATTTATTTTAATATATATAAATAAAAATAATTTTTTTATTATATATATGTAGGCTCGTTAATCGAGCCAAGTAACATAGGCTTGAGCTCAAGCTCGTTTAATAAATAAGCCTTATATTAAGCTCGAGCTCGGCTCGGGCTCGTTTAAAATCGATCTCGAGTCGAGCTTTTAACGATTCGATCCCGAGTAGCTTATGAGTAGCTTGACTCATTTGCACACCTAGGGTAAAGTATCAAGAATTCTTCTTTTCACATTGGCTTTAACTAGGGGTGTTCGCGGTGCAGTTTGATGCGGTTTATACTCAAAACCACAAACCGCACCGCATATGCGGTTTGTTATTTTCGGGAACCACAGACCGCACCGCAAAGGTTTTAAACTGCGTTATGCGGTGCGGTTTTGTGTGAACGGTTTGACGGTTTTTGTGTGGTTTATGCGGTTTCATAAAAATAAATATTAAATTTAGTTTTAAACATAATAAGTGTGTGGTGCTTTATATTCTATAAAAAAAAGAATAATTGCCTGTATAAAAATTTTCTTGATGCATAACATCAAAATATTTCACAGTGTTATAAAATTATAATATGAACTTATGGTACAGTAAACACATTTTTGATATAGGGGTGGGTGTGTGTGTGTGTGTGTGTGTATATATATATATATATGGTATGTTGCAGTGCGGTTTGAACCGCGGTTTGGTAACTATAAATCGCACCGCATAGTGTGGTTTATGAAAACTACAAACCGCACTATGTGGTGCGGTGTGGTGCGATGCGGGTGGTTTGTGCGGTTTGATGTACTCCCCTAGCTTTAACATTCCCAAAAAAAATATGACTTTTTGAAAAATTTGGGAGAAGCCCAGCCACATTAGCAAATTCATCAAGAGCATCCTTAATCACTCTAACAGAAGCTTTGTTTCCATGACAAAAAATCATAAGATCATCCGCAAAGCAAAGGTGAGTAAGTTTCTACTTCTTACATCTCTAATGAAATTTAAACAAATCTTCATTTTTTATTCTTCTCCGGAGGATCAAATTAATGGTCTCCATCACAAGGTTACCATTCATGCTAATCATAAAAGAAGGTGTGCTCACACATTGCATAATCCATCTAATCATAGTCGGGTGATAACCAAAATAAAAGAGAATATCCTGAAGAAAATACCAATTGACAGTGTCATAAGCCTTCTGAATATCAACCTTTAAAGCACAATACCCACGATCTCTATGATACCCCAGAACCAGCTCTTGAGACAGAAGAATGTTATCTATAATATATCTTCTAGGTATAAATGTTGATTAATTATCAGACCCCAAATGATTTCTAAGTCTGTTCACAATCACTTTGTTGATGCACTTGTAAATAAGCGAACAACAAGAGATAGGCCTGTAGTCACTCATCTTTCCAGACATATCGATTTTGGGAACCAAAGGAATGGATGTAGCATTAATCTCTTTGAGAATCACCCCATTCGCAAAAAACTCTTTAACAACTTAATAGAAGTCTTCACCAATGATGGACAACATGGATTTGTAAATTTTAGCAGAATAACCATCCGGACCAGGAGCCTTGTCTATGTCAAACAGGGCATTTTTAATTTCTTCATTGGTGACCATTTGAACCATCTCAACCACCTGAGAAAGATCAAGTTTTTTAACAAATAGAGAATTCGGCTGTAAAATCTCCCCACAAGGAAACTCAGTTCCGAGAAAATCACTGAAATAATCAACAAATTCTTTATACACTTCTTCTCCTTCAACCCAAACCCCTTCACTGTTTAAAATAGTTTCAATTCTGTTTTTATTTCTTTTCCCTTTAGCAATTTTATGAAAATATTTAGAAATACAATCACCCTCTCTAAGCCAATGAACTTTGGCCTTCTGTCTTAAAGATATTTCCTCCTCATCATAAGCCTTTTTATACTCTCCAAGAAACATAGCCTCCAATTCACGAAGTTGAGGATTGAACGGATCTAGATCCAAATTAGATTGAACAGCCTCAAGCTCTTTGCGAAAATGATCAACCTTCTTTGAAAAATGCCCTTGCTCCCTTAACAGTTTACATAATTGGTTTTTGTAGCATTTCGAGTTTTTGAGTAAACTGGAACATTTTATAACCTCGGACACAATTCCAGTGCTCTTCAATCAGAACCTTCAACTTAGGAGAAAGAGTAAGGACATTTGGAAATTTAAAAGGTAAAACTTTGAACTTTAACTTCAAAGGCACTTTCATAATAACAGGAGAATGGTTCGAAAGTCTATAAGGATGGAAAGACGTAAATATAGAAGGAAAGGCTTCAATTAAGCTATAATTACCCATCACGCAATCAAGCTTCTTCAACAGACCATATTCTCCTCTTGGCTTTTGGCTCCATGTAAAACTTAGCCCATTACAGTTAACATCTTAGACCTCAATTTTGTTAGCACACTCAAGAAATTCAACCATGCCTCTGGTGAATCTCGAAGTGCCAGCCGTACTTTCATTGAGTTTTAGCGTGACATTGAAATCACCACAAATAACCTAAGGATCATTTTTGACTAATATGTTATGATATTCCAAAGAAGACCATAACATTCTTCTTTCGGTGTATTTGTTAGCAGCATACACAAAAGAACATAAAATAACCTTCTTATTCTCAGGGAAAACAACTTTGCAATGCAGAACTTGATCATTATACTCAATCAAGTTAACATCAAAAAATTTGGGATTCCATCCAATTATTATGCGAGAAGTATTTCCAGAAATACCCCTATTCACAATCCACTTCCAAGAACCAAAAATCTTATCACAATTCTCTTTAAGCTTATTATAACTGACTTGAGATTCAAGAACAACAAACAAAATGAAATTATTGGAACTAATAACATCTTTAATATCTTTTTGTTCAGGGGATTGGCTCATTCCCCTAATATTCCAAAACCCAAAGCTCGCCGTCATTAGGAATTAGCATCTACTTTGGCATCATACTCCGAGATACATTTAGTAACCTCCATTTGTTCCACATCGTCCAAATAAGACAAATCAACCACACCAACTCTTTCCTTTAAATAACTCAACTGATCATCATCCTCAAGAACATTCAAAGCATCAAATTGATTATTAGAGAACGGAATCACAAGATCAGCTCCTTTTTCATTTGGATGAATCTTATCAAAATTGGAACTAACTTTTAAATTCATCCCCGATTTAGGAACATAAACAGAATTATTTTGAGCTTTATTCCTTATATCCGCCTTTGAATTAGTCACTTGATGAAAATTCTTAACTAAAGAACTTCCCATATTACCCTTGTTACTCAAAAACACCCCAGTACCACTTCCTTTTTTATTACTAATGTTACTTTTGCTGTTTTGGCCCTTCTCATAAAAAGAAACACCATTACTTCCATAGGATTGCTAATCTTTCCCATTTTGCCCTTCCTTCAAGAGTTTTAATGAAAACTATATTGGTTTTATAGAGTGAGAACCAATACAACCTTATACTTCCAATAATATATCTAATTAGAGTCAACCGACCCCCATTGGACACATATTTGTCTTTCCATCTTTTTTTTTTTTTTTTTGAAATTTAGTAACCAAAAGTCGCCATGCATCTTTCTTGTTTATAGTATGTCCCGCAGGAACACCAAGGAAAAAGGAATGAAAACAAAAAGCTTTAAAATTAATAATGTCTGCCATATGTTCAACTTCCATTAAATCGACATCGACCACATATACACAATTTTCTTTCAAGATTTAATTAAGGCGAGAAACCATGTAAAATGCCTTAAAATTCTCACAAAAGACTTCAAGAAAATTATCGACCATTTCCTAATTAGAATAGCATCGCCAATGTAAAAAGATGTACAATATTTTTACTTTATCACCGATAGATCCCCCTTCTATAATACTTTGATTAATCCCCCTTCTGTAATACATTGATTAATCATTCTAGTTAAAGCCACATGGAACCCCTCCATTACCATATGTGTGGGAATCGAAACAAAGGGTTCCTTGACTTAGACCCATAGTCATTTTGAACTTATACATTGGGGATTCGTTAACCAAAACAAACCTAATATGCAACTTTAGACAAGTTTGAATCCATCTTCTCCATTTTTCTTCGAAACCCATTACCTTGAAGGTATTTTTAAGATACCTTGAATTCATGCAGTCGAACGCTTTCTCTATATCTATCTTCAAGACCAAAGTTCTTTTTACTCCATGAAAGAACTTTGTTAAGATTAATAGACCACCAAAGATATATTTACTTTTCAATAAAGCCCTTTGAACATTATTCACTACTGATCCAACAACCATCATTAGCCGATTTGCAAGAGCTTTTTCTATTATTTTATAGATTACATATATAAAACTAATCGGGAGAAACTTGTAAACATACAAAGGGTCATGATATTTTGGAATTGACATTAAAAAAGTTACATTACATCGACGACTCAAATTCTTTTATTGCATCAACCACATCTCCACCAATTAAATTCTTTTTTTTTTTTTTTTGGAAAAATCAATGGTGAACCTATCGAGTCCTGGGAACTTCTGCATACCACAACTCCAAACAACGGATTTAATTTCATCTTCCGAGAACGGACCCTCCAATTACATGAATTTTGACATAATATTTGTTAATAGTTCTTAAAAGCAATGAGAGAAGTGTCATTTGAGGTAAGATGGATAAAATTAATGTTATGAATGTTATATATTTATAAAATTATATAATTAACAAAAACGGATACAACATAGAAAAGGATTGAGGTGTCTACGGGTATCAATCATATGATCAACGAAAAGGACGGGATACAACCATATGCTCAATATACATTACTATTGCATTCTTGAAATGTTAGAAGTCATGTCGTGTATACTTAGCCTTAATTATCTTTTCATGTGCTTTAAAATTCCCTTCCAACCCTGTTTTAGACTTACTTAGCTCCTTGGCAACATGATAGTCAAAGTGCAAGCACAAGTTATTAGCCTCATAACACTACACCACCTTCTAGTATACTCATATACGGTTACAATAACATAGTGAGGTTCAAAATTATACCGTCTTACAATATACATCTATTTGAGTTATGTTTTATTTATAATCGTATTTGCTAAAATAAAACAAATGTTTGTGATCATCTAAATTATAGCGCTAATGCATAGAGCCTCTTAAATTCTTTAATTTGAAAATATTATATTAAAATTGTAATATAGTTATCTTCTTTATCTAACATGAGGAAAATATTATGTGAAAACAATTCTTTTTGTGGGAAACACAAACACGTGTTGAACCCAACTCTTTAATAAGAAACAATACTTTTTATTATGACCACTCAAGAGGAAAATTTCAATTTCAAAGCCAAGTGTTTAAGGACTCACACCACATTATTAATTTAGGACTTCACTCTTTTAGTTCACTTTTTTAGAGACTACTACTCTTTGATTTCTTGGATTGTTGGAGCAAATGATCTCCTTACCTATTTTATAGCCTTCCACTTCTTTAATAAAAGGTTTTAGATTTTTCTAATAACTTAGTATATACAAGTTTTTTTTTTCTAGAATGTTCAATATAATACTATAGAAATGTCTACAAGGCTACATATGTTTCTATGAAGGCCTGGAAAATTCTAGTCAAGCCTTCTATGACGTTTTAGAATCTGCCATGTCTTCTAGGACGTTTAAGAATCTCCATGTCTCTTCTAAAACGTTTTGGAATCCTCCACGACATTTTAAAACATTATAAGATCTTATAGATCATGGGCTTCTACTCAAAATGGGCTAATTAGACTTCTTGATAGTTCAGCTTTCACAGTTGTTGGGGTACACTTACGTTGGAGATCTTTTGATGTCACAGTATTTTGTGAACTAATCCCACAAAAATCTACATGAATGTCCGATGACAAGAATAAACGGTTGGTAGTTATCATTTAACTCAATTTTCAAATACGATGCATGCATATTGTCCATAACATTTGAAATCCGATTGGTTAATTATCTTTCACAGCTAAAATTTATAAATACAAACCATTAATTGATACTTATAACATTATGCATTACAAGTTATAGTTGAATGGAAGGGATTGCTCGATTTCTCCAGAATAGCAAACATGATGACTGGAATTTGCCTCTTTGAAATCATTTGTCTCGAGTACATGTTGCTCACAAGCTTTCGGTTTGTTTTGACCCCTGTATGCATTGCAGATGTATGCAACAAAATTCTGGTAGTCCTGTAGTATCATTTCTACTTATGTTAGTATACCAATATCATACTATCATGCATGATCAAATTTATTTGTTTAGTAAATTTGATTGATAATTACATAGTCTTCCACATGCTATTTATTATACGACTCTAACATTAAACATTTTCATAGTAATTTAATTGCTTAGCTTGGGACCCTTTTTTTGTATGTTGCATTAGATCCATGTATTTCAAGTATCATCAAATAAACACTCTCATAACGATGTGTTGTCAAGAGCATCCACAATTCAATTTAATGAATGGTTGAATGAGGTGAAATGTATAATTGACATTTAATGGATTAATCTCAACCATAATATGATGCCAAGTGAGCATTCAATAGATTTAAAGTTCAATGAATATTGAAGTATTGAACTTTCAATGGGAAAAAAATTACTAACATTTTTCTTAATTTCTAAAATATGTTCAATTGAACGTAGAGTTCAACGTATTGTAAACCATAAATGATAAATTTGTATGAAAACTGAAATACTATGTGACAATTGATTAAACTTTATAGAATTCAATGAGAGAGAGAGAGAGAGAGACCTCTTGAAGTGGTTTATCATTGACAAGTAGCCATGGGACAAATCTATGAGGAGGGTTGAGATGGTTTGTCTCATCAGCAAATTTTAGTTCAAGCTGCATGATCAAAACATGAATGAATTGATATGGGGACCGGCTTAATTCAATTTTAATTCTAATTAACCCGATATCTAGAGTGTAAATTGATACTAGTTCAATAGTTGATTTTTTTAGAACTAGCAAAATAACATACTCCTAAAAACCACATGTCTCCTAATGAGATTTAAACTCATGACCCTTCATTTGAAAGTGTTACTACTTACCGCTAGACCAAATGGTCTTTGGTTACTAGTACAATAATTATTTATTTATATTGTTTAAGTGATTAGAGTTTTTCAAAACATTAAAAAAAAAAGTGCAATTCCAAATCAATTATCGTGTATAATCTATTGAAATTACCAAAAGTGCATAATATTTTAATTTGTTTTGTTCTTATTACAACACTAAATTCTAAAAAATATAGCAAAATCATCCAAACGGAAACTAACTTGTATCTATATGGTTATATAGATTTCTCAAAATATAACGTCATAACAAAAAATAAAAGAAGTACAATGTTAGTATTAAATATATTATTTTGATTTAAAAAAAATAAAAAAAATAAAAAATAAAAAACTTATACAGAATGGTAACAAAACATAAAGCAAATAGTACATAAATAAATAAACAATATGATACTAGCTATTGTTAATCATTTTTAAGTACTATTTTGTCCATATTTTTTGAATGTTGGAAAATGCACTCAAAGTCACATGTTGAGGTTAAAAGGTAACGCATAAAGTAAAATGGTGAAGCATGGGAATGAAAGTACTTACATCAACACCTTTTCTACTTTGGTAACAATCCGTGATGGGTTGTGGGTCAATTTTGAGTGAATTCATACAAGATTTCCATTCACCATGTTTTCCTTGCAAATTCAATTCTTCAATACACTTGATCATTTCAAACCATAGTCCCTATATATAAAATTCATTTATGAAACAAGTATAAGTGTATAAACGAGGTCTCACATTTAAATTATAGACATTCAAGTCAAAGTCAAGGGTGTGGTTTATGAGGGTTAAGGCCCAAATTAGCTAAAAAAAACTAGTTTTTAGATGAAAAATAGGTAGTAGTTGATAAACTAGTTTATTAATTAATATTGATTTGTAAAAAGCAGTTTATAAACTAAATTACAATGTAAAATGATATAAATAGACATTTACATGTATAACTAAAATAAATAAATAAATAAATAAAATTAAGGACATACTTAGAATATTTATAAGAAAAAACTTCATAATATTGTCAAAAACTATCTCTAGTTTATCAAAAGAGGACTAAATGCTCATATTAACAACATATTAGGTCATTTAGCATTTTAGACAATTCAATGATTTTTATATATAATAGTAGCATACTTTAATCTTCATCTATTTCATACAATGTAATTCTGGCATTAAATTTTGACAACAGTTCTCAATGTTGAATG